ATGGTCGCGGGTTCGATTCCTCGCACGGCACAAACGTTTGTATTCATGAGTTTGTGTCGGTCTGGGTGTTTTGTATGTATAATATTTTATGTATAGTATTTAGAAATATCTATGTATTTGTGTCAGTTATCTAGTACTCACAACACAAGCTTTAGCTAGCTTGGTTAACTTGGGTCTAGATGGCGCTGTGTGAATTGTCCTGAAATTATTATTATTATTAAGATAATATATATTATGATTGTACTTATTCGATAGTATAGAGGATCTTACACACACACACTCACTTTTAATTTGCTTATTTTGGATGACAAGGGGGGTAGGGGGGTAGAGATGATGATTACGTCATCAGTAATTATTTACTTTTTTACAAAAACGGCAACGCCCACATTGTCTTTGCCAAAAAAGACAATACATAAATTGAAAACTGTTTACGTAAGCATGGGGTAGGGGGTAAGATTTTCTTACTTTTCCTGACAAAGGGGTTGGAGGGGTAAATAATTGTAGTAAATCTGCTCATGTAAAACTTGAACGGCCTCCATAACACAAGGCCTGCTTGCCTTGGAACTAGATGGCGCTGTGTGAATTGTCCAAGGTAATATTATTACGTCAACTTATTAAAATTACATTAAAAAAGATTAAATAAATCCTTTGTTGTACTTGTTATACTGTAATTATTTACATAAAAAAAAACATCTATTAAAAAGAGCAACACACAAGTTTCTTGCTCGTTCTTCTTGTGACGAATCTGCATTCCGAATGAGTGGTAGAATCAAAATATGACTATTCAAAAGTGCTTGTAATGAGTTTATTTGAATAAAGATTATTCTGAGTTTGCCGCGCTTTTGTAGTGCATCCACAATGTTTGCAGGAGCATCAACAGACGACCTGTATGCCATCAGACGCAAACGGATCGTTTCTCTATTGCACAGACTGCGGGGCAGCAGTAACTGCATTCTAAAAATGCTGTGCAATAAATTTGACAGCCCAATACTCTGTTTTTGGACCCAAATTGTTACGGGGGCCCTTAAATGATAATATGTAATTTTAGATATACTAACATAGGCTAAGTACAATTGTTACTAACAAATTGGATCTCTGTTATCTGAATAAATAAATTTAAATTTAAATTATTTCTATTTCTATTTCTTTACTTTACGCAAACAATTGCCTTTGAAACAGTTCAGCTGTAACAAGATATTATAAATACTGAAGTATATCTCGGAGGCATTAAGAAAGTATTTTGTATGAGTTTACAATTTCATTGAGGGCCCGGTGCTATGAATTGCCCGCAAATAATGAATGGAGGTGTACTGTTAGTATTCCTCCCCATACCTACTCCCCACTTTTCCCGGCTAGGCTAAATATAACCTAGAGCAGTGTTTCCCAACCTTTTTCTAGCCATGACCCCCAATCCTCCTTAATCTTACAAAAATACGAATTTCGGAGTCTCCTTATATCTCCCTCTGACAGTATAGTTATCTTTTTATATATTATCTGTTAATAAATTCATCGTAAAAAAGAAAATTATCTGTCGCTCGCAATTATTCCGAGGGGTTTCGCATCAATATATCGGAGAGCTCTTTGGTAGGGTATGCAGTGATTCCCAACCTTTACTGAGCCATGCCCCACCTTAGCCTTTCTAAAATTCTTATTACCCCCGTTCTCAATGCAACCTACATAATTTCTATAATTAAAAAAAATAATTGGTCACTTAAGAAACTTAAAAAGGTTTTAGGGAGAAATCACTAGGAAATTGTCAATGAAACAGTAAATAAACTTTCAAAATATATTAAGAAACTGAAATAATACGTTCTAGAAAAAAATCAGTAGGAAATTGTTACCGAAACACAGTAAGTCAACTTTCAAAATATAAATGAAAAAATAAAATTCACATTTCATATAATTTTAGAAAGACTCCATTTCGATTTGTCTCCCTTAACAATCAAATTGCGACCGTGTGGGTCGTGGGTTCTCGTTGGGAAACACTGGTCTAGAGCTACCGTAACAGCGTTGTAGTATCTAAACCGTAATTAAGTAGTTAAAATAATTTACTACGATCTCCACGCAAGCGACGTGCAATTCTGAAGGTCTAATAGTACTGAAGCATAGTTCATAACCTTTTATTCAAGGCTGAAGAGGACTGTTTGTAATGTGGATTGAGGAACCTACTGATAGCAATGTACCATGTCAGGTTGACCTTCGACCGTGGTACACCTGGAACCGTCGTGATAAGTTCCTTGTAATTTGCCACGATGGGCTAACTGATCTGACCTCATGTTCATCCCATCATTCTCCACTGGTGCCCCGCCAGCGTAAACCGTTAACGCAGGAGGGTGAACCATTCAATTATCATCATCCTTTAAAAAAAAATTTAGTCATTATCAAAGACTTAACCATCAACATTTGTAGTAAAAAATGATAACACTATTTCCTTTTGATAATATTGCAGTACCATACTGTTGGTGGTCACTCTATTGTACTTTAATAAATTAAAAATAAAACTGTATTTTTGTAAATATGTATAAGCTCATTTGAAAAGGATAAGAGCTGAGTTTCTTGTCAGTTTTTCTTAGCCTGAAAGCACTCCGAACTGATGGTAGATTTAAGATATCTTAAGAGTGTGTAATAGACCTACATGTATAAAGATATTTTGATTTCATTTGTTAGAAACTTATATAGAACAGGATAGAAAATCATTTATTTAAACTTATATTGAAGCACTTTTGAATAGTCATAACATTTTTTTTAACCTACCGCTCATTCTGAAAGCTATCTCATCACAAGATGAACGAGCAAGAAACTTGCATGTTGCTCTTTTAAATAATTTTATTCTTACTTGATGATTACTCTTTTTTATGTATATTAAATTAAATATTTAAACGGTACGCTGAACAGCAAAACCTAGTCAAGACCCTGAGAAAGGATATAGGCGACTATATAACGCGAAAATAGGGTTTAAAGGGTTGAAAGGGTAGATGAAAGTTTGTATGAAAGTATTCAGTAAGTCATTTTCAAAGCTAGAAACATGAAACTTATTTTTTAGGCTGTTGATTAAACATAACTAAATATGACATTCAAAGTTTGTAAAAAATTTACTCTTAAGGGGGTAAAATAAAATAGGGGATGAATATTGACATGGAAATTCGTCATATTTGAAGCTGGAACGATGAAACTTTTTGCTTTTTTTAGATTAGATTATTGAATATATATTCTATATTTGGTCAAGATCTCTATAACATGCGGACAAAGTCGCCGGCACAGCTAGTATTATTATATTTATGTTGAATCATTACATAGTATAAATAAAGTCGCTGTCGTTGTCTGTCGGTCCCTATGTATGCGTAAATCTTTAAAACTATGCAACGGGTTTTGAAGCGGTTTTTTTAAATAGATAGAGTGATTCAAGAGGAAGGTTTATATGTATAATACATGTATATCCGTGCGAAGCCGAGGCAAGTAGCTAGTTATTGTCATATAACAAAAGTGGCTATATTTTTTACATAAATATATGTTGATTAGATTGAACTTTGTTTCAGTTGTTTAGGTTGAAGGTGGGTGGCCATCAATCACTGTCTACCTTCACCATAATCACCACGCACATCTCTCTTGACACATTCCCTTTTCCATTTACTTTATATTTTACATCACTAACCGACGACACAGCAAATAAAAGGTACATATATACTAGATGCCCACGACTTCGTTCGAGTGGAATATAACTTTATTTTTCTAAAATAAAAGTAGCCTAAGTTACTCCTTATTACATCTGCTACCTGCCAAAAAAAGTCGCATCAAAATGGGTCCAGCCATTTCAGAGATTAGCCGGAACTAACAGACGGACAGACAAAAATTATAAAAAATGTTATTTTGGTGTATGTACCATATTTATATTCATATGAATGTAGTAAAAAACGGTTATTTCAATATTACAAACAGACACTCCAATTTTATTTATATGTATAGTTTAAATAATAAGATCATATTTATTTTATTATTTAATACCATGATAGAATATAAATAGGATGGTGTTTTACATATTTAAGAGATCGAGTAAATCTTCGGAGCCGTTTGAAGTCTGACATTTGATCTCGCGCTGGGAAAATTTGGTAACACCTACGAAAATTTGTTGGGTACGAGATTAACGAGATGGATTCCTTCAACTTTGATGTGTTAAATTGGGAGTTAAAACGAAATAACGACAGTGTAACATCTATATATATATATATAACTAGTTACTCGCCCCGGCTTCGCCTGGGTGTACATATATTATATACATTAACCTTGCTCTAGAATCACTGTTTCTATTAACAATAAAAGCGCTACAAAATCCGTTGCGTAGTTTTAATGATTTAAGCATACATAGGGACACACAGACAGAGACAGCGACTTTATGTTATAATATTTTTTTTATATCACGTAGATGGCAAACAAGCATACGGCCCATCTGATGGTAAACGGTTACGGTAGCCTATAGACGCCTAAAACACTTGGAGTGCACGTTGCTGACCCTTAAGAAACCTTAATATACCCTTCTTGAAAAACCCCATGCTGTAGTCTCTCGAGAAAACCTCGGCATGTAGTTCATTCCACAATCTAAGTGTACGCGGGAGGAAGCTCCACTGAAATATTGTACTATATTGTACCACATGTAATAATGGTAATAATATAGAAACGAAACTTCTACGAGTATTTCAAGACTAAAATTAGCCAAATCGGTTCAGCCGTTCTCGAGTTTCGAACAGCAATTCATTTATATCATCATATCATCATCATTGCCTTGCCTTTATCCAATTATATGTGGCCGGCGCAGTATGTCATTCTCTTCCACGGATCTCTATCGGTCGTCATATCTGAGCTATACTCTTCTTTTATTCATATCATCTTTCACACAATCCATACATCTTTTCTTAGGGCGTCCCCTCCCTTTACATCATTAATTTATATTTCATTTCATCAATTCATTTATATATATAGATTTAAAAATATTAAAAAAAACTTACCATAAGTAGAGCGCGTTCATTTTGTGAATATGTATATATTTTTCGACGGTTTGCAATCTGAAACAAATTAATATTGAATGAAACAAAAATATTTTCATTACTATACAAAATGTATGCAGTTGTAAGGGGAAGGGACCTGTTCTAAATATCACATCCCCACCTTGATGGGAGCCATTTTATGTCTTTCAATATTTTCTTTTAACAAAATAATCCTTAAAAATGGCGTAGGTAACGTGTGGGTTTCACTTACCATCTTGAAACAAAGCACTTGCCCTTTAAACTGGTAACGGATAATTTATTATGAGTTCTATATGTTTTTATATTCAAGAAAAAATTTAAAATTCATTGTTTTATTATTTTATTCCAGACTAGTTGTACCCGCGACTTCGTCCGCGTGGAGTTTAACAAAAAAGTTAATTTGAGATTTTTTCAAAAATTAAAAATAGGCTAAGTTACTCCTTCAAATCAGCTACCTGCCAATAAAAGTCCCGTCAAATCGGTCCAGGCGTTTCAGAGATTAGCCGGAACAAACAGACTGACAGACAAATATTGTAAAAAATGTTATTTTAGTGTATGTACCATATTTATATTCATATGCATGTAGTAAAAAACGGTTATTTCAATATTACAAACAGACACTCAAATTTTATTTGTGTACAGATATATTCTTAATTTATGCTGGAATGATTTCTTTATTCCAACGAGTAAGATTTGCAATCTTTAATTTCCTTTGCCTAGCTAAAATAAAAAAAATAATTTGTACGCGGATGAAAAAATTAAACCGGAAAAGTCTTCATTTGTCTATTTCATTGGCAATGATATGATCATTACAGTTATGTATATAGTAAAAGCAGAACATTTTAACCTTTGTTACTTTGATACACAATATATAAATTATAATAATATTAAATCAAAAAATACTCTTGTCATTGGTAGGTGGCGCTAAAATAGAATGGTAAAAAATTAATAATAATAATAATAATAATGAACAACACACATTGCATATATATATTTATACATATATATACTGTTACAACATTATTATAACATTAATAATATAATATTAACACGACGACCTCGGTGCTCTAGCGGGTTAGCATACCACTTTACGTCCGATGTTCGCCGGTTTGATTCCTCGCACGGTACAAATCATATTATAATCCAATTTCACTAATATTATAACAGGCTACGTTGCTCTTCTAACAAATTATTTAAATATATTTTTAAAAATCCGCCTTAAATGCAAGATGCACATGAAACCAATAATTACTCATTTACAAATAAATCTATTGTCTAATGATTAATAATAAAATATACACAAATAATTAAAATTTGAAAGTCTGTTTGTCATTTCAATCAATACATTTTCACTAAGTGCATATGATACGTTCATATGTTGTTTTCATATATATATATATGTTATTTTCATGTGCGTCTTGCATTTAAGACGAATTTTGAATACACGGTACTTACATAAAACAACAAAAAAATTTGTTTGTTTTTTAGCAAGAACAAACAGACAATTCTGTTTGTTCTTGCTAATGTCTGAAACGGCTGGGTCGATTTTGGTGGTATTATCACATACGATACCTAATGTTATAAGAAGCAAATAAGGTAATTAAAAAAAAAAATCCACGCGAACGAAGTCGCGTATAACAGCTAGTATACATATATACGGAAACATATATATTCAACATAGCATATTTAAATAGCCTTATGCAGTAAAACATATATTACTAATTAGAACCCAGAAATGTATGCCGAATAAACGAGTTAACGAACCATTCCATTTCACGAACGTTAGCCGATAATCTCAGGACATATCTCTGTATACCAGTGGTTCCCAAAGTGTTTCCAAAACGCCCTTAGCAATCTTGTTTGCTTAAAGATTGCTAAGGGGGTCAATTCGAAAATGGAGTTCATTAAAATTATATGGAATTTGAATTCCATATCTTCATTATGTTTTGAAAATTTACTTACTGTTTTATTAACAATTTCCTAATAACACGTGAATTATTAGAAATAGAAATAATGAATGAATTAATTAAATGCACTTTGTAATTAGCTTTCAACTAAAAAAATTTTTGGAAAGTTAATTACTGTTTCATTTACAATTTCCTAGTGATTTCTTTCTAACGACTATTATTTAAGATTCTTAAGTGAACAATTGTACTTTTTCATGCTATAAATTATGTATGTTACATAGGGGTTGTAAGAATTTTAAAAAGGTGGGGTAAAGTGGGGTATGCCACGAAAAAGGTTGGGAAACACTGCCCTATACCCTTCCAAAGAGCTCCGATATATTGATGTGAAACCGCTCGGAATAATTGCGAGCGACAGACGATTTTCATTTTATGTAAATAGGTTTATTTTTACGAGGAATTTATTCTCAGATAATATACAAAAAGTTAACTAGGTAATACTGTCAGAGGGAGATGTCAAAGTCTAAGAAACCGTAACTAACTGAGTTGTCTGAAAGAGATGTCAAGATTCTCCGAAATCCGCCTTTTTATAAGATTTTCTACATTTGGTATATTATTTACTTGCGATGTGATTTTATCGAAATTTTTCATTAAAATACAAGGTTGTGAGCGATCAAAGACTAAGTCGCATCAGATGGGTTCCGTTTATTTACTAACTTATTTTTAGTTTTACTTTCCCTTTACAATTAGCGATTATCACGCGATCTTACCACGTTTTATTTCTTTTTATTGTCAATCAGTTGAGTTCCTTCCCAATTCTTCTCAATTGAATCTGTATATCTACGTAAAGAAAAAGTAAAACTAAAAATAAGTTAATAAAAATCCTAATTGTACGTATAAATAATGATGACGTCAAATTTATAAAAGGATATTACTTTTTTTTTTATTCGTTGTTACAAAAGCATCATCATCTGGTTCTTCCTTATCTCATTTATTTGTGGTCGTCGTAATATGTTTTTCTCTTCCATTCATCCCTGTTCGCAGTCATCTCGTTATGCACTCCCTTTCTTGCCATATCTTTTACACAGTACATCCATTTCTTTTTCTGCTTTTATAACACGTTACAAAGTCATTTCTTGTTACAAAGTCATTCCTTCTTACAAAGTCTACGTCTGTACAATTGAAATTTATGGAGATGGGAATTTATTGTCAATAATGGCTTTTAGCTGCTATAAACTGCATGTCGCCCATTTAGTAATATCGTTTAATAGACCAAAGAATAGCTATAATTTAGTCAAACAAATATCATGTCAAATAATAATGTCAGTAACAGTTTCCACTTATATCGCTAGATGTCGTTACTCAACAATGTCAACTTTTCTTTCTTTCTTTCTTTCTTAAAAGGCGCTGTTAAGATTTTTTTGTGATTCTATATAGGCAAACGGAATCTTTGTACCTTCGAGTCGATTCCATTCAGTGCTCTTCTGTTCAGTTCTAAAGAATATATATACCAACTAGCTAGACTCCGCAAATGTTGTTTTGCCATACACATTAAAAACGCTATTAAAAAATTGGAATTCGTGATAGAAGGGTGAAATTTTTTATAAAAAAATAATGTTAGAGGTGGACAACTCTTATCACTTAGGAGTATGAAAAAAAGATAGTAGCCTATTCTCAGACCTACTAAGTATGCATATAAATTTCATTAAAATCGGTCATGCCGTTTCGGAGAACTATGACCAACATTATGACACGAGAATTTTATATATAAGATATTGATTCTTTTATTGTACCGATTTTTAGTATATCCTTGGCTCAGCGCATTCCTATAAGCATACAAAGCAGATAGAAACTGCTTCACAGATCAGACAGTAGAGAGTGCGATAGGATATTCTGTGGTAGAAAGAGAAACAAAAAATTCGTACTCTATGGTAGTAGATAATAACCTCTATAGAAATAAAGTACTCTAATTCTTTTAGTAGTGGGTTGTCGATTACAGTCGATGCAACGATACCGTTTACCGTCGACGACAAACTAGTTAAAAAACAGGCTAACTTTCGACTAGACGTCATCGTTGAAAAAACTATTACTTCACACAAACGATTGGTCAACGTAAACGAATGATTTTGGAGTGACCGTCTCGATCGGATCACTAAAGATCGCGACGCCGTGGTCTACGAAAACTAGTTTATCTGGGAACTGTAACTACACTCGCGACCAAAAGTATGGAATCACTTTTTTTTTATTGGGTTGTTTGGACTATTGTCAGGTGCCTGTAGCACCTGTAGTACTGCGACCTACATAGATCTATTGTGCTTGCCCTTTTTCAGAGTTCGCTACCTAGACCCGTCAGGGATAAGAATTGAAGGATATTCTTTCGAGCGATGGTTATTATCTTCTCGGGAAAGAGCGTAAACTTTTCAAAGGAGATATTTCGTTTATGCATGAATGGGCTACAACCACATAGGATGTGTAGTTGCGTTTCCTCTTCAGTTTGACAAGATCTGGAAACATTTATGGAATGTTGATATGGAATCACTTACTTGGAATTGATTCCGCGCGATTTTGAGTACTTAATAATAACTAGTTAAGAATAATAAAAATGATACCATTTGAAAGGTTAGACTGTAAACTTTAAATTGATACCAAAATTGTGTGTGATTTAAATGAATTTGGTATCAATTTAGTTTAACAGTTTAACTTTTCAAATGTTTTTTTTTTCGGACTACTCTAATGCTGTTGGCCACAGCTGGCCTTTACAACCGGACGATAGGGGGCGAGTGCCGATGGCACACCAAACCCGCGGAAGGACTTATGGAGCGACTGAAGACCAACTTCCGCCTGACGGATACGACTTTAGTCTGAGGACACCGCTAGGGATCCGAACCTCGTTTCAGGTCGTCGTAATTTCAATCCCCGTTTGAATTGGACGGGGGATCGATCAAATAGTAAGTTATCAATTCCAAGTAAATGATTCCATAATTTTGTTCGCGAGTGTAGTTTAATCGTTCACGTACAAATAACAGTTTGACAAAATCGTTCATTCAAAGCCCACCTCTAGTGCGACCTCGTAGCTTTTCAGAATGAATTCTAGAATTGTTTCTTCACAATCCGACAGATGTCGCGCTATATCCTC